CCCTTGCTGCCAAGCTTCTTTTCAAGCAACACGTCTTCCAAAATGACGCCCTTGTTGTGTTTTTTGGATCATACTGTGTCCAGAGAACCATGCTTGGGAATTCCCTCTTCCCAGAAGTGAATATTCACAAGAATTCACATAGAACACGTGGCCTAGACTAAAAGCCTTGGCAGGATTCTCGGCCAAGCCAAATCAGAAACCCAGCCCATCATGGCCAAGGGCAGCGGTCCTGGGAAGAAATGTTGAGTTGTTGCTGTAGGAAACAGGATCCCAGAGCTGCCAGCGCAGGTGCCAAGGTCCTTCTGTCCTTGGCAGCGTCCACCCAGATCTGTGCCTGTTCAACGCTGCAGCTGTGGGAAGCGGTGACAGCCACAGATAATTGAAATACAGCACAACAGAGTAACCCAAGCCAAGCTTTCCTCTTTGAATTTAAAGATAAAATATAATTGTTCCTCAGCTATTCTCAGCAGATGACAAATTGAAAAAACTTCGGAGGGTACACTGGCTAATGTCCGAGCATACTGAGTCCATTCTCATAGCGCTGGCTTTCTGACAGTGGCTTGTGCCATTGTATCAGGCACAAGCCAGGAGACAGAGCCTGGCAGGGAGAAGTACTCAAGAAAGCACACAGGACGTCATGGCACATCCAGAGCACACAGGACCGTTGCAGCTTTTCCTCATCTGCTGCGACACCCCTCCCTCCGCCTGCTTTTGCTCTCCCTGTGACCTCTGGTCCCTCCTGCTGAGTGTCTTTTGCAAAATCCTCCTCCTCTGCCTTTCTATTACATGCCGGAATTCCGCCAAGGTGGCCTGAGACCTTCCTCTCCCTTCATTCTCTTTCAGCCATGTCACCCTTGCCCATTGCTTCTACTGCTACCCACCTGCGGGTGCCTCCCTGTCACTCTGCCCCCACCCTCTCTTTTGAATGAATGTACAAAGGGCTTAGTGGCCGAGTAGATGAATTAGCAGCCCTGGCCTCATGAAGGTCCATCCATTCAGTCATTCATCCTACACGTTTACCGGGAACTCACAATGTGCCAGCCCTGCCCTGTGCTTGCTGTAGAGAAGCGCTGATGAGCAAAACCCGGGGCTGGCTATGTGACTGCGGGGCCAGTGCAAACAAAAATGTGTGACCCCTTATTCAAATTCAGGGGGAAAATGCTGTTAAAAGTATTAAAATATAAAGCTTTACCCCTTTCTTCTGATGTTTCTCACTTCCGCATGGCTTTTCTTGCTTGTTTGTCACAACTGGAGCAAAGTCGAGAAAGTAAAGAGAAATTGAATGTTTAAATTAGCAGCATGAATTTTACCATCCATCTTTATAATGTGCAGTATTGTGTTAAAATGCAAACATGAGGGCATTTGGCTCGTGTGGAATTACCATAATGACACACTTCTTATCTGGTGGCTCGTACGGGCACATGTATTTCATTGTCACCAGAACCATGGAAATGCTGCCCACAGCTAACCCAGCCATTTCATTATTTCACTTCCTGACACATGCACATTCTACCAGCATTCCCTGCCTTCAGCTTTCTGATGAGTCAGGAAGGGCTGGAAGGTAAAGGAGTTACGTGTTTTCCTGTCTCCTGGTTCCTTGTATGTCATCATCGTCAGCATGAATCGGTGGCTAATCCAGGGAAGTACTGGGTGTAAGGGGTAGTATGGTGCAGTGTTCCTCAGTCAGGGTTTCTTAGACGGTTTCTTAGCCTCTTTCTGAATTAGAAGCAAGCTCTGGTTTGAAGGGACATTGTGGTCTTTCTGAGCTGTCAGTGACCCTGCTCACTCATGGATGCAACCCGCTTACCTGTCCTGGCGTTGAGGCGCCCTGAACTCCCGCGCATAGTGGGTCCACCGGAAGTCTGTGCTCATGGGGCACACTCGCTGTCTGTGAATGGGATGCACGGAAATTCTGCTTATGTCCTCTGCTCACGTGCATGCCCCATTCTCCCATCAGACTTCATTTATAAAACACAAGTCCAAAGATAAAATTAATTTCAAGATAGTAATAGCAGAGCCTTAAGCCCAGCACGGGGCCTTTCTGAGCCTGTGTGCCTGCCCTGGTTGCACGCTGGCCCCGGCAAACACACGTGCCAGGTCTGTGGCTTCATGGAGCTTGCAGTCCAGTAGAAGAGAAGGATGGGACACATAATTGTCACACTGATACATAGCGACAGCTGAGGGAAGTGTTATGAAAAGAAGAGTGGAGGGGCCTCTGGAAGTGTAGATCGGGGCCTGACCTGTTCTAAAGGGTCAGACGTGATAAAGTGATATTGAATGAAGAGTAGTGCTAGCTAGGCACTTCAAACTGCAAGTGCAAAGGTCCTGGGACAGAAAAGAATGTGGAACTGAAAAAGGGCCGATTGGCTACAAGGAGGCAGTGGAGGGCAGTATGGGAAGAAGGGAGGATTCAGGGAGGGGCTGGACGCTGTGTCCTGTGTGCAGTGGGCATGGGACCAACGCTTATACTGGAAGGAGGTTGTCAGAGGGACATGATTCTTGTCCTCAGGCAGATCGAGATATGCAATCCGTTTGTATGAGAACATTCATGAGAATACCAAAAGGTAACCCCCTCCTGCTTTGTTTGATTGGACAGGTGATGGAGGAGTTTTATAACATATTTGGTCCAGAACTAAAGGCAGTAACAGGGGACCCCAAGCGCATCGACGATGTCCTGTGCAGGGTGGACAGCCTGGTCACCCCCATGGAAAACCTGACCTTTGACCCCTTCAGCATCACGTCCTCCCAGTACTGGAAATATGTGATAGATGACTTCAAGATTGAAGTCCTGGTAAGTAACACCTCCGTCGATTTCCCCATGTTAAATTTGTTAGGTTATTTCATTATGCTTAGTGTATGTGGTTTTTTTTAATCACAAGAAGGGATTAAATACCTGCTTTTTGTGTGTGTGTAAACAAGGAAACAGGACAGAAGAGCATAAGGTAAAAATGAACATTCCTCAGTCTTTGTCCCCACTCCTTCTCCCCAGGAGGAATACGTTTAAATCAAGCTGGACACAGTAGCATTTCTACAAAGGTGGGTCGAGTGTGTAAAAGGAGAGGATATAGGAGGGCCAGGGTGAAGAATTGGATTTAATTTAGTAAGCAGTAGGGAGCCATTGAAGGTCGTTGACCACGGGAGTGATAGAATTATACCCGAGGAAGGTTTTTCTAGCCACCACGTAAGCTGATCTGGGCTGATGAACAACAGGAGGTGGAAGATGACGTAGAAGGTTGTCGCCTGGGGTGTGGGGGAGGCAGAGCCTGTCAGAGGCTATGGCTGAGACTGTGAGTTCACTGCACACGGTGTGGTAGGTGGCCCATTGCAAGCAGCCTCCCTGCCTCGTATGGGATGTGCTGTCAGGGCAGCCCCATTTTGTAACCCCAGAGCATCTTTTATATGGACAGCCCCAGACAGTTCTACTCGGTTATGCAAACGTTTTTATTTTAGTTGTATTCAGTTTATTCTCAGCTTCTATTTAATTTCAAGTATTATTCTTTTTTTTTTTTTTTAGCTGAGCCATCCTGCCACCTGTTGGCAGCTCAGTTCGGGCCAGGAATCCAACCACTGTTGTTCAGAGCTCACACTCTTGAGCGAGCTCTTAACCAACTGAGCCACTCGGCCGGCCGTAGTACTCATTTTTAAATTGAACTTTTCATCAAAGCCACGTAGTCTACTAAAAGGCTCATAATAAAAAAAGAAGCAGCCCCAAATTGAACCCTTCTCCATCCCCATTCTTGCTGTCATTTCCCACAGTTTTAGCTACTGCTTTTGTTGTTTATTCATATTTCCGAAAGAACATGCCAGTGTGGTTTATTTCCTGATTTATCACATTGAATCAACTTAGACATCTATTAACTTTTCAGAGCAGATACAGATTTGACGGTCATATTCCTACTCCCCCTCCCTTTTTGCCTTTCTGTCATTTAACATAATTTTATCATATCTTTTGGTTAAATTACGGTCAGAGCTCACTCATTATGCCTGTGCAAATATTGTTCACTGCTGAGCCAAGAAGCCCATCATAACCACACCACCCTTCATTTTCCCTGGAGTTAATCATTACTTTCATTTTTCATTTACCCTGTTATTTACTTTGCATTATTTATTTTTTTCCAACTGCTCTAACATCCTGATGCATATTTACCAATAATGGGTTCCATCTGCTCAAATATATCAGTGCTGTTTTCCTGGAGGCCTGTCTCCCAGCTCATTGCCTTTCTGTTCCAGCCTAAACTGCCCTTCACACCTGTTCAAAGCCCTAGGACTTCTCATCTTCTCTCATTTGTGTTGGATGCTGTGTTCTAGATATCACATCTTCCTCTTTCCTTGTTTACTCCTTTGTTTTGCTGGAGCACATTTTGTAGTAGCTTTCTAAGAAAGGTTTCCTGCATGTGTGAATTCTGGAACAACAGGTATATAATTCAAGTTTGAAAATAAATTTTTAGAAATTTAAAAACATTCTTTATTGATGTCTTACTTTCAGTATTATTAGAAGTCTGATACCATTATGATTTAATTTTTATAGAACTAACCTTCTGTTCTTTAAAGAGTGGGGTTGGGATGGGGGTACAGAAGGTGCATAGTGTCCTCGCTGTGCAGAGTAGAAGAGGGAGCCTCTGTTTGCCTCGCTCCCTCCTGGTGCCCCCAAATGTTCAGCCCCCCAGACGTTTCCCTGGGGAGCAAACAGGTCCCCCTATTGCCAGCATTAGGTTATAATTCTCTGCCTCCTGCAAAGTCAGTTACTTTCTTTCCAAAAATTCCTGAACTGTCTCCTCTGCTGTATGTGCTCTCCCATTCCTTAGTCTCTTTAAGTTAATACTTAAAAAAAACTCCTTTTCAGGGCCGGCCGAGTGGCTCAGTTGGTTGGGAGTGCAAGCCCTGAGCAACGGGGTCGCAGGTTCAATTCCCACATGGGCCAGTGAGCTGCGCCCGAGCTCAGCTGCTGCTGAGCTGTCAACAGGTGGCAGGATGGCTCAGCTGGTGAGAGCATGTTATCCTAACAACAAAGTTGCTGGTTCAACTCCCGCATGGGATTGGGCCACGCCCACCTGCAACTGAGATTGAACACCGCACCTTGAGCTGAGCTGCCCTGAGCTGCCGACAGGTGTCCAGATGGCTCAGTGGTTGGAGCGTGTGCTCTTGCAACAGGGTTTCCGATTCTACTCCCACGTGGGATGGTAGGCTACGCCAACCCTCAGCTAGCATTGAGCACAGCACCTTGGGCTGGGCAGACACGGGCCGCCGAAGGGTGGCCGGATGGTGGCTGGGCTTGGAGCTGGGCTGGCTGCCCCCTCCACGGCTGGGATTGGGGGACAACAACTTAGCTGTTCGCCTTTCCCAATTCCCCAATAAAATCTTAAAGAAAAAACCCTCCTTTTCCATAATTTTGAAGTGGTTGAGGGGTTAGAGCAGAAAACCAAAGCAGCCAATCTGCCATTTTGAACTGGTCACCAGCTTCCACGAGAGCACGATGGAAATCCTTCTCGACACCGGTTTGGTTTTTGCTGATTTCTTGCCTTTTTGGGGGGCAGGTGTGTGTGTGTGTGTGTGTGTGTGTGTGTGTGTGTGTGTCAAGATAATTACAGGGGCATGAAGGATGTTTTCTTGACTTTTTTTTTTTCAGATTATTGAGAAAGAAGCAAAAAATTTTATCGACGAATCTTTTAAGACACTTCGATCAGCTGAAGCAGCATTTGACATGCTTTTAAAATTTAAGCATATTCGTTCACGGGAGGCTGTTAACCGACAAATGATGATGAAATTTAATGATATTCTTGCACAGTACTGTAAAGAGGTAATTGAAAAATCTGTAGCCGCTGTAGCAGTAAAAATGTACTTGGCAAAATGTGAACAATTGAGTCACACTATTATCTGTCTTTCCCATCTAAATTCAGGGAAAATGCCGGGTTTTTCCAAATAAATACATCACATAATATAGGTAACCGAAACAAAGTGGGTTTGTTCAGTAGAGAAATTCTGTAAGAATTTGTTGTCAAGTACAATATTGTATGCCTCCCATTGTGATGGGCCCCGTGTGATGTAGCAGCATTAATAATCAGTAATAACACCAGGAGTCAAAGGTAACCAGGTACAAAGGTCATATATTTGTATTTTTGTATCAGTTCAGAAAAATGTACCAAGCACTTGCATATTCCAAATACAGTGTGAGGCAAAGAGGTAGAGAGATGAACAAAACACAGATTCTGCCTTCAGAGAAGTCAGTACCTAGTGGGAGAAGCAGATGAAAATGAAATGCATATTTCTTATTCAGAAGATAAAATGAGCGTATGTGAAATCATTAGATCGACATAAGGTAGTGTAACATAAAGGGGTAAAGGGACCCCCTAACGTATTCATTTTCTATTGCCACTGCAGCAAATTATCACAAACGCAGTGACTGAAAACAACACAAATTTGTTACCTAACATTCGGCTCTGAAGGTCAGAAGTCCACCCCAGTCTCACTGGGTTTAAATCAAGGTGTCAGCAGGACTGTATTCCTTCCTGGAGTCTCTCAGGAGAATTCATTTCCTTGTTTTTTTCTGGTTTCTGGAGATTCATGACCGCCTTCCAGCTTCAGAGCCAGCAATGGGCAGTCCCACACCATCACTCTGACCCTCTTTTTTGCCTCCCTCTTCCCGTTTTAAGGACCCTTGTGATTACATGGACCCACCCAGGTGACCCAGGATAGTCTTTCTGTTTTAAGGTCAGCTGGTTGGCAACCTTCATTCCATCTGCAGTCTTCAGTCCCCTTTGTCACGTGATGTAGCACATTCACAGGTTCTGGGGATCAGGACCTGCTGTTATTCTGCCCCCCACTCCTAATTACCCAGATTGAGAGTGTGGAGATGGCTTCTTTTAAAATGCAGGCCCAGAGCACATAACCCGGCATTTTCACTGCTGGGTACATGGCCCAAAGGAACTGAAGGCAGAGTCTTGAAGAGAGATTTGTACACTCATGTTCACAGCAGCGTTACAACAGCCGACAGGTAGAAACCTAAGTGTCCATTGATGGATGAATGGATTTAAAAAAAATTGTCTATCCATACAGTGGAAGGAAATTCTGACACACGTTACAACGTGGATGAACCGTAAGGACATCATCTTACGTGAAATAAGCCAATCACAAAGAGCTACTGTATGATTCCACTTGTATGAGGGGCCCAGAGGAGTCCGATCCCTAGACAGAAAGTAGAATGGAGATCGCCAGGGGCCGGGGAAGGGGGCCGGGGAGTTAGTGTTTAATGGGGACAGAGTTTCAGTTTGGGAAGATGAAGAGAGTTCTGGAGATGGATGGTGGTGAAGGCTGCACAGCAACGTGAATGTACTTAATTCACTGAGCTATGCACTTAAAAATGGTTAAAATGGAAAATTTATGTATATTTTACCATAATTTAAAAAATATAATAAGCAATTGTAAAATCTCAATGACACATGCACACCCATCCACAGAGTTCAGGCCTGGCCACTGGTCATGTCTAGGACAGATTTCATAATTTCTAATAAGTCAGCCAAGTGAATGTACACAGTCTGTAATTATCAGGCCATTTGGAGCATTGTGTATGGTAAACAACAGAAACAATTGCTAGAGAATATGAGAAAAAGTAGTAAATAATAAGGAAGTAGTAAAAACACTATTCTATGAGCATATCTTAGACCATTTCCCGACATCCACTGTTCATTTCTTTAAAGATGCAAATCTCACATTTAATCTTCCTTAGCTAACACGGCGATATTTATCACTCACAGAATGCGTTTGATCGCTTTTCAGATTGACATCGTTCATAAAATCTTTGTTCAGAACCTCAACAACCCACCACTGTACAAGAATCACCCTCCGGTAGCAGGTGCAATCTACTGGGAGCGGTCTCTTTTCTTCCGGATTAAGCACACCATCCTCAGGTTTCAGGAAGTACAGGAGATCCTGGACAGTGACCGAGGGAGAGAGGTACGGTGCTGTGCTGGAACTGGCCCCTTCCGCTCCGCAGGCTATGCAGAGCTGCCTGTGTGAGAAGCAGCTCACTTTCAAAGCCATGCCTGCGACTCAGGCTTCAACTCTGCTCCCTGGTTCAAACCGCCTTTGCAGCCTTTCTCTTTGGCACCTCAAAACCTACAGCACCTTCCAGGTGGCAGGCACGTGGCTTCTCTCTGAACTTGATCTTCAGTCTCTCTAGAGGGGGACCACCATCTTTCTGATAATACTGTCCCTCCCCCCGCCCCCATGGGTTTTTGTACGTTATATTGCAGGGGCTGACAAACCTTTTTCTTATTAGTTTCAGGTGTACAAAACAACATAATGATTAGACATTTGCACCCCTCACAAAGTGATAACCCCCCCAAGTCTACTACTCCTTTGATACCATACATAGTTATTATAATACCATTGATTATTTTCCCTATGCTGCTCTTTACATCCCGTGACTGTGTGTGTGTGTGTGTGTGTGTATTTAATTACAGTTGACATTCAATATTACTTTACATTATTTTCAGGTGTACATACAGTGCAGTGGTTAGGCATTTCTATAATCTATGAAGTGGTCCCCTGATAAGTCCAGTACCCATCTGGCACCCAACATAATCTTTACAACATTATTGATTATGGTCCCCATACTGTGTTTCACATCCCCGTGGCTATTTTGTGACTACCAGTTTGTACTTCCTAATCCCCTCACCTTCTCCCTCATCCCCCAACACCCCTTCCATTGAGCAACCGTCAGTTTGTTCTCTGTATCTCTGTTCCTGTTTTGTTTGCTGGTTTATTCTGTTCTTTAGATTCCACATGTAAGTGACATATGGTATTTGTCTTTCTCAGTCTGACTTATTTCATTTAGCACAATATCCTCTAGGTCCATCTATGTTGTTTCAAATGGTAAGATTTCATTCTTTTTTATGGCAGAGTAATATTCCGTTGTATAAATGTACCACGATTTCTTTATCTAATCATCTATTGATGGGCATTTCGGTTGTTTCCATACCTTGGCTATTATGAATAGCACTGCAATAAACATAGGGGTATATACATTTTTTTCAAATTAGTGTTTTGATTCTTTGGATAAATACTCAGGAGTGGAATTGCTGGGTCGTACGGTAGCTCTGTTTTTAATGTTTTGGAGAACCTCCATACTTATTTCCATAGTAGCTGCACCAGTCTGCAGTCCCACCAACAGTACACGAGGGTCCCCTTTTCTCCACATCCTTACCAACACTTGTTTGTTGATTTATTGACGATGGCCATTCTGACAGGAGTGAGGTGGTAGCTCATGGTGGTTTTAATTTGCATTTCTCTGAAGATCAGTGATATTGAACATCTTTCTCTATGTTGTATTGACCATCTGTATGTGCTCTTTAGAGAAATATCTATTCAGGTCCTCTGTCCATTTTTTAATTGGATTGTTTGGTTTTTTTGATGTTGAGTTGCAGGAGTTTTTTATAAATTTTGGATATTAACCCCTTATCAGATATATCATTGGCAAATATCTTCTCTCACTCAGTACACCGTCTTTTTGTTTTGTTGATGGTTTCCTTTGCTGTGAAGAAACTTTTTAGTTTGATGTAGCCTCATTTGTTTATTTTTTGCATTTGTTTCCCTTGCCTGAGGAGATAGATCAGTAAAAATATGACTAAGGGTAATGTCTGAGAGGACAAGCCTTTTCTGTAGAGATCCAGAGAGTAAATATTTTAGGCATTTGCGGTCATATGGCTCTGTTGCAAGGACTCAGCTCTGCCATTGCCGTAAGGAAGTGTCTATAGGTAACACGAAAAATAACAGGCATGGCTGTGAGCCAACGAACTTCACTGTGGACGCTGAATCTGAATTCCATATAGTTTTCACCAAGTATTGTTGTTCTTTTCAATTTCCTTCTAATCCATTGAAAGTGTGAGAGCCATTCTTAGCTCATGGGCTGCACCGAATGCAACCCACTGCTGAAGCCTGCAGACAGACCCCTACCAGTCAGCCTAGATTTCAAGCTGTACCATCTCAGCAAACCCGCCAGAATTTGTGAAAGCCTGTCTTATTCCTTTTGCAAAATGTGTTAACAGGTAATTTTTTTTAAAGAGGGAGAGATGCTATTTCCAAGGACAAAGCGACACTTTCTTAAATCCCTTGAATAGGTAAAACAAAAATATTTGGAAGTGGGCAGGATGATGAAAGACTACGAAGATAGGAAGTACCAGCAGTGGAAAGAGACAACACAACAGGTTCTACCAACCCTAATGAAGAAGAGTCTGCTTACTAAGGTGCGGCTTTCCAGATCCTTGTCCCAGGTGGTGGCGGCCATGTGAGATGATGGCATCATGAGGTTTGATTTGTTGACACTCATAAAGGTGATAAGTATTTACAAAATCAAAAGCAAAGGAGGGGCCAGCCGAGTGGCTCAGTTGGTTAAGAGCGCGAGCTCTGAGCCACAGGGTCGCCGGTTCGATTCCTATATGGGCCAGTGATGCTGCACCCGAGCTGACCTGCCGCTGAGCTGCCAACAGGTGTCCAGATGGCTCAGTGGTTAGAGCGTGCGCTCTTAACAACAAAGTTGCTGGTTCGACTCCCGCATGGGATGGTGGGCCACATCCACCCGCACCTAAGATTGAACACGGCACCTTTAGCTAAGCAGCAGTGAGCTGCCGACGGGCGGCCAGATGGCGACTGGACTTGGAGCTGAGCTAGCTGTGCCCTCCACAACTAAGATTGAAGGACAACAACTTGGCTGTTTCCCTCCCCAATTCCCCAACACTGTTCCTCTTTTAAAAATAAAAAAGCAAAGAAGGGAGAGGTTGACAGGGAGACGAGGAGAGGCAGAAAGGAAAGAGCTAGGGCTGGCATAATGTCAGGTCAGTAAACGCACTGTAATCAGACAGCTCTGCTGACTCCTCGGGCAAGTGGCGTAACTCTCAGCCTCAGTTTCCCCGTTTGTAAAAATGAGTTAGATCAGATGACATGAACATGTGAAGTATTAGTGCAGCCATATAGGAAGCAGCTGGCCATTGACTGTTTTTAACCTGCAGAAAAAGTCCCTTTCATGTGATTTATCCTTATCTTTTGCACTGGGCCTGGCACATAGCAAGCGCTCAGTAAAGAAATTCTAGCTGTGACGGGGGAAAGACCTGCCTGGCGGTTTTAGGTCTTTGGTCTCTGAAATTCCAAAGTAAGGACCAAAATGAGTGACGGGCTGGGCGGGGCCTACTGGAACCGACTGGTCAGGGCCTATTAGAAGTGGGGTGACTGCTCCCCAGTTCCCACCTGCTCTTGCCGGCATCGTCAGCTTTTCCCAATTTTCGGGGGGAGCCAGAACTGTGGATTTTGACCTGCAGTTGCCCATTTTTCAGAGGTGGGTGGCTAAACGGAATTCTTTAAAAACTCTGTCCACCAAACAAAATATGTATTCTAGCTAGTTCCCGCCAGCGCCCTCGTCTGGCAGGGCATCAGGGTCCTACACGGATCACTTTCAAATCCACGCCTAACGTGGGTGGTACTGATCTGATGGCTTTTGGGGCCACCCTTCCCACGCTGACGGAACATCCTTTCCACAGATATCTGGCACTGAAGATGCTGCCAGCTACGAAAAGGGCGCTGTCTTCGTGATCAATTTTTCGTTTGCTCTCAGGGAGATTATTATTGAAACAAAGTACATGGAACAGCTGGGATTTCCTGTTCCGGAATTAGCAAGGAATGTTGCTCTTCAGGAGGACAAATTTCTTAGGTAAAAAGCTTCTTCTCTTACATTAGCAGTAAACTTTTTGGTCTTGGGATCTCTTTACGCTCTTAAAATTGAGAAAAAAAAATTATTGAGAACCAGCCTTCCGTGCCCCAAAGCTTTCATTTCTGTGGATTTTGTAACTACTAATGTTGACCACATTTGAAGTTAAAACTAGGAAATGTTTAAAATATGTTTTTAACCTTCTAAAAGTATCAATAATGAGCCTGTTCCATGTTAACATAAATAACATTTTTAATGGGAAGTAACCAATATTTTCCAAAAAATAAAATTAGTCGGTAGAGTGGCATTGTTTTCCGTTTCTGTGAATCTCTGGATCAACATTTCAGGCTGGTTCATGGTCTTGTATAACCTGTCTATGAGGTGATGAAATTTTTTACGAGCCCCATTGTACCCCCCTCATGTTACTGTCTTTTCTGGAACACGCAGGTACACAGAGGGGTTGCAGCAGATGCTGGACCATTATCACATGCTCATAGGCACGCTAAATGAGGCGGAGTCCGTTCTCCTCGAGGACCATTCTCAGGAATTAATACGCGTGTTTAGGTCTGGCTATAAGAGGTTAAACTGGAACTCACTAGGTAACCCATGCCATCTGTCTATTGCCTTTTAGAACTTGGGATGCGGAAATAATTCTTTAAGGCTGTTTCAGTGGAGTTAGAATTTCTGTAGGCACGTAGGTGTGGTTAACAAATAACTAACTCTTGAGCATTACTGAAGTACACTCTGTGGAACGTAGAATTAGCTCAAGGCTTTGGCTGGGAGTGCAGATAAGATGGGATGCTGTTTTGACACGTGACTGGTGCTCACCAGTGCTTGCCCCTCCCAAAATAAAGTGAGCGTTGCTTTTTCTTTTCTAAAATTAAAATTTTAATTTTGAAATAAGCATAGATTCACATGCAGCTGTTAGAATTCATACAGGGAGCTCTTTGTACCCTTAACCCAGGTCCCTCCGATGCTGACTTCTCATAAATCACAGCCCAGACATTGCCTTTGATCCGGTCAAGACACAGAATATTTCCCCCATGACGACTCTCACGTCACCTCTTAAAGCCACACCCACTTTCCTCCCACCTCCATCCTCTCTTTAACCCCGGGCAACCTCTAATCTGTTCTCCATTTCTAGAATTTTGTCATTTCACACATGTTATGTCATAGAATCTTTTGGGCTTGGCTTTTGTCAGCATAATTCTCTGGAGATTTATCCTAGCGCTCATTACTGGACTGTAGCGCTAAAAGTCCCGTCCATCTCCATGGCTTCCTCTGATACCACCATGGCAGGCGTGAGGGGACAGGGGCATTGGGGTGCCTCACCCCTGCACTATGTGGGTGGAAATCTAGGCCCCCAGCTGGCCCTCACAGGCATGGGTTAGGGTGTGGTCATAGTTTAGTCTGAACTCTTTGGCTGGAGTAGAACAGTGACTGTGTATAAGTGTCTGTCTTGCTAGGCTGTCCCTTTCCTGGTCCTCGGGCTTGTGTTAGGGCTTTTGGGTTTTTTTTTATATGTGTGCCTGTACCCATTGGCATTCGTGAGTCACCAGCTCCTTCAGCTCCAAGTCCAGGATATATAAGGAAAAAGAATGACTGTCATTACTCGGGTCCCGAGGTCTCCAGCTGGTTTGCCTTTTCTCCACCTTTCAGCCTTATGGTTGTTTTACAGATAAGGCGCAGGGTTTTCATTTAGCAGGAGGAATAAGGAAAAAGTGCGTCTGCTCCCTCCTCCTGGAACTGGACGTCCCCTTTAGTCTTTAAATGAAAAACGCATTTGGTCCTTCTGTTTTTCTTCCTCTCTTCTGTCTTTTGATTCAAATCTTCCGTCCTTTCTTTGTCACTTTCTTTCCTTGTCTTCATCCCTTTTCCTTTGTATGGAGAATGATGTGTGTTTGTACTTCGGCCCCAGAGCCAACCCCTTGGGTTAGAAGTCCAGCTCTCCCCACATGACTCAGCCTCCTGGAGGCTGAATGTCCCCAGCTGAAGAATGGGCTGCTGGAAGGAATTGATGACAGAATAAATATTACATGCTTAGGCCATCGCCCAACTGATCACACATGCTTCACCCGGGTTTATTGTTCACGTAATTTATCATTCTAAGCATCAGGCCAAAGGAGGTTGCGGGCAGGGTAGGCTAGGGTGGAGGGTTCAGGTTGCTGTGGCAATGAGAGGACAACAGGGTTGGACCTTCTCTTTCTCCCCACAGTGGTTTAGATATGATTATGCTAAAATCTGGACAGAAGAAATGTAGCATTTAGGCTCCTTGTCCCAGTCCCTAAGGGTGCTGTGCGGATCTTTGCCACCTCTGAGGCCCAAGGGGAGGGGTGCCAGCATTAACGGTACAGATGTTGTGGGGCGGGATGTGGAAAGAAAGTCGAAGGCCAAACGTCCTTTTTTTCTTTCTCTTTTTCTCCAAAGGTATTGCTGACTACATAGCTCGGTGCAAGCAGGCCATTGGGAAATTTGAGTCCCTTGTCCATCAGATTCACAAGAATGCAGATGACATTGCTTCCAGGCTTACGCTAATAGAGTCCATAAATCTCTTTAAATATCCAGCACCTAAAAGTGAGGAAGAACTGCCAGGTAGATCTGACTTCTTCTTTTCTTTGATTATGGAAGGAATGAAAAAAACCTCTTGGTCATGATTGCGTATACACACACACACACACACACACACACACACACACACACACACACACACACACACACACCACTCTCTGTCACACTCCCACACTGTATTCCATGGACTAAAACCATTCCTAATTATCCCCCTCATTTACCTGAAAGGATCATCAGTAATTTTTACGGGCTCACATGTACTTGTCCAAACCAGGCCTTTTAAGTGGTCTTAGACTAGTCAACAAGGAATTTGGGACCAGTCAACCAGCAATTCAAGAAAAGCAAGGCTGCCCAAAGATGCAAAAGCCACCTTCTGTATGTGGTATATTTTAGCACGCGTAACGGTCATTTCCCTGCTGCTGCTCATTTTCTGCTTCGGGTACGTATTGTTTTCTGCTTTGGGTCAAGGTTAGAGGCTGCTTTTGGATTTCCAAGACACATAGCTCATGCCTGGGTTGCTCCTTGAGGACTGTCCTTCTCTGTGTTCGTGAGGAGCTGGGACAGGTGTCTTCCTCTACAGGTGTCAAGGAGTTCTTTGAGCACATTGACCGGGAAAGGGCCAAAGATGTGGACCACATGGTCAGGTGGTATCTGGCCATTGGGCCTCTGCTGACCAAAGTCGAGGGCCTGGTCATCCACACCAACACGGGCAAGGCCCCCAGGCTGGCCACCTACTATGAGTACTGGGAAACCAGGATTTACGAAGTCCTGACCAAGCTTATCATGAAGTAAGTTAGTCTCGCTGCCAGTGTTAAAGGCTGTGCACAGATTAAAAAAGGTTTACATTCATAAATAGCGAAGGGGGATTGCACGGTGCAGAGTAAAAATCAGTGGGAGAGTAAGTCTGCTTTCTGGCTGCGGGGTGCTCCCAGGATGGAGGGATGACGTGCCCTTTTGCTCACGTTCTTGCTAGGCCCCTCACATTCAGGAGAGGACGCCATCCCTCTTCCCACTTCAGCTGTCCGAAAGACACGTGTGGCTCTGTTCACCTGGCAACAGAAAATTGCTGTCACTCAGTAGCTCCCCAAAGCCCAGATGTCTCTCATTCCCATATTGAGAGAGGCTGATTTGAAGGACGCGTGGCCCAGTCACTCTTCCTGATGGTCCCCAGGAACCCCTGGCTTGAATGGGCATCACGTATGTGTGGAATGCCTGTTGTGTGGGTCAGCCTCACACACAGTCAGGAGCTGAGTGCCTGGACTTCATTAGAAGAGCTTAGGATCAATCATTCTAGGAAACCAGCCGATGAAATTCACCCTCACCAGGGGAGAGAGGCAAAACACAGGAAGCAGACATAACGAAGATGACTCCTGTGAAAGAAAGCAGAATAGTGTTCCCAGGAGAGAATGGAGGGGCTTTTGTAATTGGATGGTCAGGAAAGGCCATGGAGAGGCCACATTTTAGCTGAGTTCTGAAGATACGGAGTGCGTTGACAAGGGAGGGGCTTTCTGGGCGAAGACAGAAGCCAGCGTGAAGTCCATTTCTCCTGAACCAGGGTCGAACAGCTTTTGGAAGTCATCATTATTATTTAAGTATCTTCCAACTAATAGATATTAACTTCCCCAAAGTAGAAACGAGCTATTTGTAAAATTTAGGCCAAAAAAAGGATATGTAATGAAACTCATCCCAAACTGTCCATTACAACCTTAGAATGTAGGCTTTTTACCTATGACTTTGTGACTGTAGTCATTTTCGTCAGCGGTTGGATGTATTTCACTCTAGTGAGTACTGAGTCTTTTTTTTATTAACCCCTCTTAGGAATTTGCAGTCTTTTAATTTTCTAATCCTTGGGAATGTCCCTTTGTTCCAAATGGAAACCATTTTGACTGCGCCCGAGATTATCCTTCATCCCAATGCAAACGAGATCAACAAAATGTGCGTCCAGTGTGTCCGAAATTGCGTGGAGATCGCCAGGGTAAGGGCAGGAATGTCTGTGGTGTTCCTCAGGTGGCTTCTTGTCCCAGAGGGCTGGGCCCGCCAGCTGCTGACGGCAAGTTGCCGAGGAGATCGGGACCACAGGTTCCACTCTGTTCTTTGTCTGGACTGTTTTAATCTCGTCCCAGCTTGTCCTCTGTGGATCTCTGAATTTTGGAGTGTCCTGCGGCTTGATCTTGGTGCTCCTTGCTTCTTTCTCCTCTCTGTATAGTCATGACCAGCCC